ATCCATCTTGGAAGTGTTGCAGTTTGTTTTCCCCTCAAACTAATAGGCTTGAGTATGACAACGAGCTATCATTAAACATGAGTAATGTTTTGTAGGAACTCTGGAGGAAGAGGGTGGATAACTACTTGAATATCTTGAGCCCAAAGATCCAGTCAGATACCATAAGGAATGTGATGGACATGAAAGCAAACTTGGGGTCTTTTGCTGCTGCACTTCTTAAGAACAAGGACGTATGGGTTATGAACGTTGTCCCAGAAGATGGACCAAATACATTGAAGGTGGTATATGACAGGGGGCTGATAGGCACTATCCACAGCTGGTACGTAACAATCGACTTTAATTTCAGGGGGCATTCTCTTTTTTCACTACGCTTCTAATTTCCTTTATTATAAGGTCTTCGGGTTGGGTGTATTGGCGAGGGTCATATATACAATTGAACAATTACGTTGGTTTCCTTTGACACTTTAGATATATTTGTCAGCATTGAAATTAAATAGCATGCAATTGAGATAAGTAACATTTATTTACAAATGCATCGAATCACAAACATTTAGTCCATAGGGATCGTGTGATTTGTTCAAATACCGCCCACTGAATATCTTCCAACATGTCCGTTTGACAGGTGCGAAGCCTTCTCGACATATCCTCGGACATACGATTTGCTTCATGCTTGGACCGTGTTCTCTGACATTGAGAAGAAGGGATGCAGTGTGGAAGATCTTCTGTTGGAGATGGATCGTGTGATAAGGCCCAGTGGTTTCATTATCATACGCGACAGGCAATCGGTGATAGATTACGTGAAGAAGTATATGGTGGCGTTGCACTGGGAAGCAGTAGACTCCTCCAGCACTGAACAGGACCAGGATGGTGAAGAGGTTGTCTTCATCGTCCAAAAGAAGCTGTGGCTGACCAGTGAGAGCCTTAGAGACACAGAGTAGTAGGGGGAGGGACAAGCCCCTTCTCAGTAACTCCAACACTTAAAATATTTTTCGAGCAGAAGGCTCCAGCGCATGGGGAGGAAGTGAAGAAGTAAGTAAGAAGGCCATAGTGCTGTGAGTAGCAAAGACAGGTTTTACATTTTGTAGCAGGAAATGAAGTTCCATCCACCATATCCCTCTATTTTTTTTTATAGTTTTTGTTCTTTTGGTCCTTGTAATGATTCTTCAATTTGATAGCATGGAACTATAAGTCGATAGGGGCACTATTCTTCAGATTGGTCTTTTTTTTGCTGTTTTCGTTAATGAAAGCAAGAATAGTTACTGGAAACCTTTATTACTTGAAGTAGTCATGAGTGATGATGAAGTTCTTACTTTCTCGCTCGTCGCCAGCTCATTCCCATATAGTGCCAGTTAAGGTTAATAAGTGTGTAACTAAGCGGTCCCTTTGCATTGCAGATGTGGTTGTGGGAACGGTAATTGTCAAAACATTACTGTGGCGTGGATAGTGATGGCAACCTGGCTCGCGCGACCCGATATGTCTGGATACATTTGGACGGGTATTATTCGATTTACACTATTGTAAGGTGGGACGTTAGTACTGCTTCTGACTCTTCTTGTCCTGTCCTGTTCTCGATTCGTTTTTTTATAATTTGCCTTAATATCTCGACTCATATTTTCATCCAAAGAAATTTTAAGACTACATCTTTCTATTATTTAGTTTCAATTATTTTTTTTATTATATTTCTCATTCATTTATGAAGAATTTTCTCAATATTTTGTTATAAAAAGAGTTACAAATCAAAACTCCTTTTAATAATATTAAAAATGGTTCGATTCACTCAGTGTCGTAGCCACACGAATATTACTCAATCCACGACTGATATAGATTTTGAGATGTACCCGCTTCGTTCCATTTACATCTCTAGATGTGGAGAGTGTAGTAAAGTGAATGAAGAAAATGGAAATAAAGTGCCAAGCAAATATATTAACACAAACATTCAAACCGCCTTGGCACATGCAAATGTCCCTTTGAATTTGACTCTGGGAACCATTTATTAAACAAACTTGAGGTGTTTGTTATTCTTCTTATCAAGTTTGATTCTTACGGCAATCCAATGTTCCTTTGCTCTCAAGAAAAAGTATGACCATTTCCAAGGGCAACAAGCCTATTCATCAGAATGCCATTGCCAGTCTTGTACTACAATTTCACATTTTTTTTAATGAGATTGGATATAGCAGATCTTTAACATCTATAAAGAGGATAAATTTTTGGGTAAATACAATTTAATATCCAAACCTTTCATTTTAAACAATATAATAGACAAATCTTTTCGAAAACAATCTAATATTCAAATCGTCAACTTTCCATTCGTTTGATCGTTAGTTGACACTGCAAAAAAGCTTCCGTCATAGAACCGGTCAATCTATTTTCGGATTAGATCACCGAGAATCATCTCGATTCTATTCTATTGTTCTACCTCATCCATAAATTGTCAACTCCACACCTTAACTGAGCCAAAACAATAACTTCTTCATAATCTGGGATGGCAACTGACTGGCTACTGCTGGTGTAGTTGAGTGGTAAACTCAATTCTGCAGAGCAAGTCCATTTGGACAACCACTTTTGTTTCCCCATTTTCCCAATTCCAACCCAATAAAAGGGTGGCATAATATTGGCAAGTGGCTACCAGTTGCATCTCATTTCTGATTGGAGTGCTTGATAATAATAATGATAATGATAATGATGTATGTGCAGTTAAAGGTAAAGTTGAAGTTGGGTAGGTTGTTCATCTCTTCTACTAATAATGTGACCACAATCAATGTGTCTTTCAATTTTGCCCATAATGAAATTGTGTGTAGGGATGATAATGGGTAGGGTTGAGCTGGGTTTCTTTAAACTCAATTCAACACAGTGGATGCACCCATTAAAAAAAACCCAGTAATATATCTATTGGGTTTTAGAAGTTAAAATTCAATCCAGTTCAACAGGTATTCTCGACTGCATGGATACCCATTGGTTCACAAACATAATCATATATTATTTCTTCCAACACGCACATTGTAATGCTATCAAAAAAAAATTCTAGAAATATATCTCCATAAAAACTATTAACATTCATGAATTATATGCATAATGTCATAAAAGACTAATAACGTTCATAAAATTATTCAGATCGTCCATATTAGATACAAAATGGCGTCATTTTCCTTTAGGGGGTGCGGGTCGGATGAAAAACGAATTGGATTCCAACTCACCAATTTCAAAAGCGCGGTAAAACACATACTCGATTCAAAACTCATCAAACACTAAATTTTTATCGAGTTTAACCGGCTTGGATTGGATTGATTACCCGTGAATTGGCCATCCTTAATTGTGTGTTTTCTGCATATCCCATTTGAGGTTGGTCCCCGCTTTTCAAGCTTTTGCACCCCTGCCCTACACGGCTACACCCAAGGGGAAATGGGCCTCTAGCTCCAAAAACCTTCTTCTTGCCTTTTGGTTGTTTATTAATTGCAGGTAATATAACAATTGCGTTAGATTTAGCTGTCAATAAACAAGTTTTGCTTCTTTTGAGTTTTGAGTAATGGCTGTGGCCCGCGCCCTAATTTCCCCTTGCAGTCAGTCAGTCAACCGATGCTTTGCTGCTGCCATTACTTGCAAAATTTAAGGAGCGTTTCAAGCGTTCCCTCCATTTTTGTTTAATTTAATCCCAAAGTGAAGAAGAAAGCAGAGTGGTGAGACAAGGACAATGGGAGTGAGGAAGGAGATGACTTTTGTGTCTGCTGAGCTTTTTGTACCATGAGATGGCAAACACACACTAAAAAAAAAGCTAAAGTCAAACTGCTGTGGCTCCAAACTTTCAACTCCCTCTTCTCCGTGATATATGATGATAAAAATATTATATGTTTTTAATTCTTACAATTTGATGTAAAATTATTATCGAAATTTATGTAAATCTTAAATAATTAGAATCGTTGCATAAGTTATGGCGACATGTGATTCAATACATATGGCTTGGTGTGTATGTTTTGATAGGTAGTGTTCTTCGGTCGAGGCGAGATAGAATGCCATGAAGACGTGGCACTGGGCTGACATGAGGGCTAAAAATGAACTATCACGACTGAGTCGGCCTTTTAAAGCCAACATTGTATGCTGTAAAAATCCGATGATTGCGAAAAAGAAAGAATACGACATCAATTTATGTGACTTTTCCGCTCAAATTGAACATGACTAGTGCAGGGAGAGTAAAAAACTCTCGAGAAGTTTTATCACGCTTTTCTTCGACTTAGGGTTCAGCTCATCCGTGGTTCCTACTAAAAGGATATCCAGGTTTGGAAAATTAATGATGTTAAATTTGTTATTAAATCACCTGCATTATTTCTGCAATTAGCAGTCGTCTTGTCATGGGGTTAAAAAGACATGGCAAATGGTCCAACTCGGTTCCCACCTTTCCGTCAATCTTAATATTTATTTGTCTCATAATAATGATTCCGTGTATTATTATGCTCCAAGTTTAACACAGTTTCTCTCCGCTTACTCAATGTTTTATTATTGTATATCTGTTACTTATCTTATATCTAATCTAGCCAAGTGCCCCAACACTAATGGGCATCTCTCTCTACTAAAATATAAAAAAAATTCACTCTTCTTTCCATTCGGGGAAGATGTTATGATGTAAATTTAAGTTTTACGGTTAGACCGCGTCAGGTCTAACACAATTAAACTACATAATCGTAGTAGTATATTAGTCAGTTTTGCCGATTAAGAAGAGTATCACTACATTAGCAACGATATTTAATAGATATGCTAGGTTTTTTTTTTATAGGAAAATAGATATGCTAGGTTTAAAATCAAATTTATACTATTCTGCCAATTTACGAGTATCACATTCTATTTTACGCACTGGGAAATATTTCCCTATCGAACGAGGTTGATGTTGCTGGACGGGAACGGAACCTCTGAAATTTTCAATTTTCACTTTGTGGACAGACGGCAAATGGACAGCGAGTAACGGTGAAAAATAACAGAAACCCAAAGTAGGAGAAAAAGGAAAATAAGATAGGAAAGCAAAAGAAAGCAGCAACAAAGCCAAAGCTCTCTCTCTCTCATAACTTTCAACGCAACCAACAATGTTGGGTGGTCTCCAGAGGCACGAACTTCTTCTCTTCTCCTACTCATTCTCTTCCCCTCCTTCTCCGTCCAGAATTCCCGCCTCTCCGTCTTCCTCTTCCACCTAGCTTCTCCACCCGCCGCCACTTGCCTCGGTACTATTCTTTACCCTCTTCTCATACTGCTCCTGATTCTGAATCCGGCTCTCTGGAAATTCTCCGATTTGGTTTGCCTTTTTGCTTTCCGATTACTTGAACTCTTGTTCCCTTCCCTTATTTCTTTCTTTGTTCATTTCCACTGTTTTTCTACTTCTTGATTGCTTCCGTTTATTTCGTGGCTCTGAGAGCTGCGTCTCTGTTGGTTCTGGAACTCGGAAGTGCCGAGTGTCGGGAGCTTTCTCTGGAGCTTTTCGAGTTGCCCGATTTGGAGTCTGTGTTAGGTTAAACTGGGAGAAATGTGGATGTAACTGTGGGAACTACAGTGATGACAGCTCTCTTTGGAAGTCGCTGCTTATCGGATGTTGAATTCTGGATTTGATCGCTTTTTTTGCTCCATTTCCTTTCTTTTCACTCCGATCGTTTCCCTTGGTTTCTTTGTGGATTTTATTAAGGGGGAGAAGACGACTTCGCTATCTTTAGCTCGTCTCTTCCTCTACTTATTTCAATTTGCTTTTCCTAGATAGTTAGGGTGGAAGGCTTTTTGATGATGAGCTTGCCTGCTGTGATAACTGAAAAAGCTCTGGAAATTAGGATCGAGCTCACACAGGATTCTGGTGACCTAGATTTTCTTCCCTGCTGGAGTTTAGAACACAGCATTGAGTGATTTAGACTAGTCACAGGAGATATTTGACGAGGCAGCTCAGAAGTACTAGCGTTTACTTTTGGTGTAAGTGTATTAGATCAAGGCAGACAGGTTTAGCAGTAAACTGTTGGTTTGATTTTTTTATTTTGACAAAAATCTTGTTTGGCAGCCCAATGAATTACGCCTAATATTGACCCTGGGGATATGGCTTAGACGAATTGTTATTGCTGTGAGATCTGACCAAGTACCTTAGAGAACTGTCGAGCACGAAGGAAGGTGCAAAAGAATAAAGATCGACCATTGGGGTTTCCTGCAACAATCCTTTATCAACAAACAAATCAGACAATATGCATAACTATGTCTTGTTTCAAGTTTCATGTTGGTTTTAGGATTCCTTGTGCAACTGGGAATGTAGCTTTTGTGTTTTTCTTTCTGATTAGGATATATTTTTCTGAAATATTCTTATATTTGTTTCTTTAATGTTCTTCATCCATCCTGGTGTGCCTAGGGTTGCAGTCAGTTGTTTTCAAAGGAATATGGGGTGGTGGAATTTAGACAAAATAGTGGTACTAGGCATAATCTCATTTAGACAAAATAGTTGTTTTCAAATTTCAGTTTTGCAGGGTTTCTCTCATTCTAATTATCTGGCGCTTTATCAATGCAGGATATAGACTTCAGTTGTACTGCAATTTCTTATCCTGGAACTGGGGACTTAAGATGCATATCTGACCTTTCTGGACTTCAGTTGTATTGCAATTTCACATCATATCATTGATTTGATTTACGTCGGGAAAAAGCTGAGGAGGTACTATTAATTCTACATTGAGATATATGGAGTCTGCACGATGTTGGTTCAGCAAATTCAGGTCAAAAGACAAAGCAAGGCCTTCGAAAAAGAAAGAAGTCTCAAGCAACGGTAAAGAGGGGATTAAAGCACCAAGTAGTGAAGAATTGCCGTCAAATGTAACCAAACAAAGGGTTGCAGCTGCAAAGCAGTATATTGAAAATCATTATAAGAAGCAGATGAAAGACCTGCAGGAAAGAAGAGAGCGGTATGATTTACTCGTAGCTATGGTCTTAGAAAAATTCCAATCTGGTCATATTCATAGTTTTTCTTTTGAGTATTTCATATCGTTCCTCTCATCTATCTGTACTTGGTTTGAGATTCTGGTAAGTCTGGTGTTTTGTCTGCAATTGTGGATGGCATTAGCTTTTGGTGGTTCTTGAATTTGAGTGATAATACGACATCTTGCAGGCGAGATATGCTTGAGAAGAAATTGGCTGATGCGGAGGTCACGGAGGAAGAACAAAGCAACTTAATAAAATATTTAGAGAAAAAGGAAACAGAGTTCATGCGGCTCCAGAGACATAAAATGGGAGCTGATGATTTCGAGCCATTGACAATGATAGGCAAGGGTGCATTTGGGGAGGTATGCCTTTTCTTTTGGGAGATGCATGCCGGAATAAAATATCCAGGCTTCATACTGCTGTGCCCTTATCTAGTACTGCTGAATCTTCTTTGACACACTTTTAGGGTGCGTCTCTTTCTCTGAGGTTAGCCTGCATGGAATGTTCATAATATATGCCCATATGATATTCATATATGTGCCGTAGTAGGGTACACGAACACTCCAGATTTCATTTTGAGGCTTCCTCTGTCTGTCATGGAGCTTTTATTTATGATGCTATACTAAACTTACTCGCTTGCTCTTGTATTTACTCCATCGCGTTTCTTTATAAATTTCAGGTTCGAATCTGTAAAGAGAAGTCAACAGGTCATGTATATGCAATGAAGAAGCTTAAGAAATCAGAGATGTTGCGTAGAGGCCAGGTTTGTGACTATTTAACTGACTCCAGATGCTCATATCAGTTATCAGTAGCTTATGCTTAATGAAAATGTATGATTGCCCAGGTTGAACATGTAAAAGCTGAAAGGAATTTGCTTGCAGAGGTTGAGAGCAATTGCATTGTCAAACTATATTGCTCATTCCAAGATGAAGAGTATCTATATCTTATAATGGAATATTTACCTGGTGGGGATATGATGACATTGCTTATGCGGAAGGATACCCTAACTGAAGATGAGGCTAGGTTTTATGTTGGGGAAACTGTCCTGGCTATCGAATCTATCCATAAGCATAACTATATCCATAGGTAATCGAAACATTCGTCTGTTGGCTTTTTCTTTTGTCATGGTTGCTTAGTTGTTTGTTTCGTTGGTCATATAAAACTCATCTTTTCTTCTGTTTCACAGAGATATCAAGCCTGACAATTTGCTACTAGACAAGCATGGGCACATGAAGCTCTCTGATTTTGGACTATGTAAACCTCTAGATTGCACTAACCTCCAAGAAAAAGATTTTACGGCATCAAATAAACTTAGTGGAGCTCTTCAGAGTGATGGACGACCTGCAGTACCAAGACGCACACAACAGGAGCAATTGCAGCACTGGCAGAGGAACAGGAGGATGCTTGTAAGTTCACTAGAATTATGCAGTGGGGTCAGTCCTATTTTGTTGTTGTTATAATTGGCCCCTATTGCATAGGAACTCTCTTAACTAAATAGTGAGACCCTTCTGGAATCTGTATATCGTTCCCAACGTTACTTCTCGGTCAAGTCCAATGCGGTACTTGAGTTTCTTCAAGTTGATTTTCTGGCGATTATCGTTGTATTTCAGCACATTTTGTTAGGTTTTCTGTCGAATTTCTTGTCATCTTTATGCGGAAACTCTTGTTGGAAAAGCAACTGTTAAGACTTGCTAATATAGTAATAACTTTCTTCCTTCTTTAGGCTTATTCGACTGTTGGAACACCGGACTACATTGCCCCTGAGGTTTTGCTGAAGAAAGGATATGGAATGGAATGCGATTGGTTCGTACACTAAATTTGTTTACATCTAATCGTTTATTATGTGAAATATGTCTCACTCTGGGATTGTCCGGTTGTGGTTAAACTTCGTACTTTTTGTCCAGGTGGTCTCTGGGTGCTATCATGTATGAGATGCTTGTGGGATACCCACCATTCTATTCCGATGAGCCCATGTCAACTTGTAGGAAGGTGCTATTTTAATGCTGTTTATCGACAAGCATTTACTTGTATCACTGAGCAAGTTACCTAAAGTCTTATCATTTATGTTTGGACGAGGAAACTCAAGTGTATGATTAGCACTTTTTTCATCAGAGTCCTACAAAACTGTTACTAATTGAATGCCGTTGTGTTGAACAAATTCTGATCAGCGATCCTGTCCTGCAGATTGTTAATTGGAAGACTCATTTAAAATTTCCGGAAGAAGCAAGGTTATCTCCCGATGCTAAGGATCTTATCTGTAGACTGTTATGCAATGTAGAACTGAGGCTTGGGACAAAGGGTGCGCACGAAATAAAGGTGTTGTGTGGTGTGTCCTATTCTTGAAATGTTGATTTAAATCTAGTTGAGGATTCAAAAGGAATATATGAGTAAGTGCTTTGACCTATGTTGTTTCAGGCACACCCTTGGTTTAAAGGTGTTGAATGGGAGAAGTTGTATCAGATGAAAGCTGCATTCATCCCTGAGGTCAATGATGAGTTGGATACTCAAAATTTTGAGAAGTTTGATGAGGTAGATCATATTACTTGTGCAAAACCAAAAGACCTGTTTTAGAAGCATGTTTTTTTTCTTCTTCTGATTTTCATCATCTTTTGTGTAGGATGACAGCCAAATGCAGACTCCAAATAAATCTGGACCATGGAGAAAGGTAAGAACATCAAGTTTTTTCTTCTAATGGGGGTAAAATCCCATTCTTCGCTCAAAGCTTGCCACTTTGACATCTTCCTTCTTGTTCTCCTGGCGAACATGGAGCAATTTTAATTTCCCATGTTAATACTTGTTTGATCTAATGAATGGGTGGAGGCTAAGGGTTTAGAGATCCTTCACTATATAATTTATTTCGGGGTCTTGAGGTTGATGGTTGTTGCCATGTTATACAATGCAGATGCTATCATCCAAGGATATCAATTTTGTGGGTTACACATATAAGAACTTCGAAATCGTGAATGACCATCAATTGCCTGGGATAGGTAATATTTTGTCATGTTCTTGTGTTAATATTTGATAATATATTATGCTCACGTTCATGTCAGCTCAACAAGTCTATAGATGATATAAATATATGCCTGCCTCTAAACAATTTCAAGCATTAAAATCCGACGTGCTAGTTTGAGCATTGCACGTTATAGTTCATAATTGTTTTGGGTCGTAGATGTGGACTGACACAGCTGGATGGTACCGCTGTCTTATTGGGGGAACTTGTAGTAGACACACATAGCCCATGACGGGCAGGATAATGTTCTAAAGTAATATTTTTTGGTCAGAAGGAATGTTTTCTTGTGTGCATTTAATAGTCGGTACAGCACTGTACTTGTTCGCACCCGATCCGATCCGATCCTCTCGGCTTGGCTTATTTCACAAAGCCTTTGTTTGTTTCTTTTCGTTTTATGGAATGTTGAAATGGCAGTAAGTAAAAGTTAAGTTATCCCCAGTAATGATTTCTTGCACTTTTCAATGGACAGCTGAACTGAAGAAGAAGAGCACAAAGCCGAAGAGACCCTCGATCAAGTCCCTTTTTGGTAAGTTATTTTATTGAACCCCTTTCCTTCCTCATCTAAACCTGAAATTTGCCACCGGAAAGCTTTGCGTTAACCTGCAACTACTGTTGGGTGAGTGACACCTATCCATTCCCACCACACCAGTAGTGTCACCACTGCCTGTGGTTTTTTTTTTTTGACAAACCACTGCCTGTGGTGATGTGAGCTTTCTACCCTACCGACCAAGAACGCAAAGACTCTGATGGCGACTCTCTCTCTTTTTATTTCGATCACATTGGTTAATCAAATCCTGGTATTTTCTCCAGAGGACGAGACAGCAGAGGATGATGCCATTCAAGAACAGCCCGCGCATGGCGGTGGTGGCAGCTTCCTGGGACTCTTGCCTCCGAAACATGATCATTACGGACAACCGAGTAGATCGAAATGACCTGCTGACTCGTTTGGCTACAAGGTGTATTAATTTCTGATTTGGATGCGTTAACATATGCTATACGCTTGAGCTGAAGGCACCAGGAAGAAGGATGATCCAAACCAACTGAAATAGTGAGAGAATAGCTTGCTAGATGGCTCTGGTTCGCCATTTTGTGGATTGGGTTTACCGGGGCGCCGGAAAGACCAAACCAGGTTGTTGTGGGGGGAAACGGCGGCAGTTTTTGAAGTTTTCTTGTCCGAGAGCTTGTTGGGTGACGAGTTGGATTGGTGGTGGCGGTGGCGGCGGAGGTGGTGGCTATGGATTGCATTAATGTAAAATGCTAAGAGTTTTGAGTAAATATTCTTTCAGGACATAGTTGTTGTATTCTATTGCCTCTTTGTCAATCAAGCTGTGATATAATCTATGTGTCCATATCGTTTGACCTCCCAATCTGCTCTTTCTTTTGTACATTTTTCTGGTTCCATTCCAACAATAGCCAAGTGATATTCATCTTCTACAAATAGGATTATAGAAACCCCCCTCCCTGTAGCTCAGTACTTTGTACACTTTTCAGTTTTCACGTCGGGTGTTGGTTAGATTGGAGTAGGTTTGGGTATATTTTTTTCAGAAACAATACTTTCTAAACAAAAGTACAGAGAATGGCATGCTTTAAATTTTAAAGTCGAGATATTTAAGATGTGAATATTCTTATTCAACTTAATGATAGTTGCAGAATTTTTTTTCTTCAAGATTATCACCCAGGACTGTGCATAGTCCGACAACAAATATACAAAGCTAACAATAATCAATAACGGTAGTTTGTATGCAAGTGGACACTCGATGAGAGTCTTTTTTTTCACTAGATAGATAGAACTCTAATAAAGTTTTGAAGAGCAAAAAAGACATGAAACTGACTCAAATGATGAGAAGAGGAATGAACTTTTCCATAATGTCTCTGACTCTAGAATGGAAAGACTTCCTCAGTGTAGCATCCTTGAGGACCAGTTGAAAATGTTCGCAAAAAGTAACAACCAAGACATTATGAATAAGACATCAAGTCATAACATCACTAAGTTCAAGTAGTTCCATGTATAAGCATCACAAATATCATAACAAAAGTTTATCAAAAGCAAATGAAATAGTTTCATCATATGAGAAGCCGAAACAACCGCTTGCACATTCTTGAGAATTCTTTAAGGCACCATCAAATTGGGTCAGAACACATTCGCTATAGCAGTTTATGCCTGCTCTCTTACATAAGAACAAAATGTGAGCTTTGAGAAAATTAATGCATACGTGACTGATAGCCATTAGATTAACAAATAATCATAGGGACATAATTTAGTAAAGGATAATTTAGTAAATACATCTTCAAACCCTAATATAAATACTTATTTTTCTACCACTCATCTCACATCTCTCACAAGTCAAACCCTAATATAAATACTTATTTTTAGGCTTGGCAACCCTGACCGACCCAGCGGGTATCCACCCAAAACCCGCCCTAATTATAACCTAAAAATCCGTCCGTTGTGGGCTTTTGGCGGATTCGGATTTACCCGAAACCCGTGGGTCGCGGGCGATGGGTGGGGACGGTATTAGTGGTATCCGCCCCGCCCCCGCCCCGAATCATAAAACGACGTCGTTTAGACATCGTATATAAACCAAAAAACGAGCCCTGCCAACCCTAATCTCTCATTTTCCACTCTCCGCCGTCCCAAACGACTGCTCCCATTCCTCTCATCTTCCTCTTCGAGAACCTCCCGAAACCCTAGCTTCTTTCTCTCCATCGAATCTCCCAAACATCTAATCCGCTCAAAAATCTCGCTGTTCCCCACGATTTCCTCCCAATCCAGCTTGTTTATACAATTATGATTGCCAGTAGGCAATCATTATCTCTCAATTTGGCCAATTGGATGCTAGTTTTGCCGGCGATTTCGTCGGGAAACAGCATGCAGAGCCCTAAATTGCCCGTTGCAATCTTCGATTTGCAGCTATTAGGGGAAATCGACGTGATATCGCACATCGAGCGAGATAAGTTCCTTCTCCCTTTTCCTTTCGTATTCTGCTGCACTTTCTTGCCTTCTTCCTTCTTCTCGTATATAAATTAACCCCTCGATTAATTTCAGGTCACTGGTCAGCCTAACTTCTTCCTTAAACCCATTACCTGCACTCTGCTCAGAGCACAGTCGAGGTAAGCACAAACTTAACCCATTATTTTTCCAGATTCATGAGCTGTCTCTAATCTCTATCATTCGATGCATGCATGCTAATTTTATTTTGTTTTTTTGGCTTTGTTGGGGAGTTGTTTAGCTTCGCATTAGGCATCAGCTCAGTGCTCACCATCTGCAGTCTGGTGAACAGAGTCTCCCTCAGTCCCTCTCCAGATTACAGGTAACTTCCAATTGAAGACTTTCCTTTTTTGATTGGTCCAACTCAACTCTCGATTCAGTCGATTGTAATTTGTATTGTGTGTTGTGTGATTTGTCTGGGTAGTTAATAGTTTTGGTTGATTGATTGAATGCAATTATTTAATTGTTTATGTAGATGGATGGTGCTACTGAAAATTGTGCTTTGAATGCGAATGATCCTACTGTGCCTTCTAATCAAAACGGTAATGGTAATGGTAATGGTAATGGCAATGTTAATGGTAATGGTTCTGGGAATGATGATAATGGTTCTGGGAATGATGCTAATGGTTCTGGGAATGAAAATGTTGAAATAATTCTGGCTGAAGATCGTAAATTGACTTCTGATGTCTGGCCACATTTTGTGAGGGTCAAGTTTAATGGGGAGATTAAAGCCAAGTGTAAATACTGTCGAAAACGTTTAGGTGGTGATACTAGTAATGGAACCTCCCACTTGAGGAACCATTACAAAACTTGCACCCAAAGAAAGATACATGATGGTAGGCAGAGAGTTCTTGGTCCTGATTATAAACCAACTGGAAAACCCCTCCTATCTGCTACTCAATTCAATTCTGATGTGTCTAGGAAGGAATTGTGCTCTATGATTATGGTGCATGAGTATCCCCTGAACATTGTTGAACATGTGGGGTTTAAACGTTTCTGTTGTTCTTTGCAACCCCAGTTCACTGTCCCTTGTAGAAATACAGTGAAGAGGGACATATTTGCTTTATATGGGGCTGAGATGGCAAAGCTTCAGAAGGTTTTAGATGGTAATATTGGTAGAGTTGCAGTCACAACTGATATGTGGACTGCAACTAACCAAAAGATGGGGTATATGGCGGTTACTGGTCATTTTATTGACAATTCTTGGAAACTTAAAAACATGATGTTGAGTTTTATCTATGTCCCTGCCCCTCATACTAGTAAGAGGTTGGGAGATAGGTTGTTCAAGTGTTTGCTTGGTTGGAATCTTGATAGAAAGTTGTCCTCGATTACCTTGGATAACTGTACCACCAATGATGCCATGATACTCATATGAAAACTAAACTTGCTATTGATGATCTGTTGTTGGATGGTTTGCTGGTTCAAATGAGATGTTCTGCTCATGTTTTGAATCTCATTGTGAAAGAAGGGTTGGAAGTCATAAAAGATGGCATTGAATTGGTTAGAGATAGTGTTGTGTACTGGAAGTCCACTCCTAAGAGGGTACAAACCTTCTTTGAAACTGCTAAGCAGCTTAAAGTGCCTTGTGAGAAGCAACTTGTGCTTGATTGTCCAACTAGGTGGAACTCCACCTATGATATGCTATCTACAGCCATTGTGTATAGAGATGTTTTCTCTCGTTTGAGGCAGTGGGATAGTCAATACACCACTGTCCCTACTAGTATGCACTGGGAGTTTGCTGCTATGGTCATTGATAAGCTGGAAATTTTCAGTGAGATCACAAAGCTGTTTTCTGGCAGCAAGTATCCCACTGCTAATTTGTTTTTCCCCAAGGTTTGTGATCTGAGACTGAAATTTTTGGAATGGTGTGCTGATACCAATTCTCTTATCTCGGCTATGGCTGAGAGTATGTGGGAGAAATTTTCTAAGTATTGGGATGATATACACTTGGTTCTCGCTGTGTCAGTGGTTCTTGATCCTAGATACAAGTTGCATGTGATTGAGTATTATGCTGCTAAGTTTGGCAGTACTAATACCGACTTGGTGGCTGATAAGATTAAGCAATGTATTTGTGGTTTGGTGCTTGATTACCAAACCAAGTTTGAGAGGAACAATTCTGGTTCTTCAACTGCTTATGATAGTTCTTCTACTCCTGCAAATGATGATCTTGATTTTGAACTGTTTGTGAGTCGGAGGAAAAAAAGCAAAGCAACTCTGGTCCATACTGAACTGGATCACTATCTTCTTGAGGAACTGATTCCTAAAAGGTCTCCTGACTTTGATATACTGATGTGGTGGAAACTGAATGGCCTTAAGTACCCCACTTTGCAAGCAATTGCAAGGGATTTCTTGGCCATACCAATTACATCAGTGGCTTCTGAATCTGCTTTTAGCTCTGGTGGGAGGTTAATAGACCCTCATCGGAGTAGATTGCACTATGATACAATAGAGGCAATGATGTGTACCAGAAGTTGGATTATGGAGGAAATGCAACAAGGTAATCTGCAATTACTTGTCTTTTTCATTAAAATGTTAACTGGATTGAATATTAATTGTCTTTTTCATTGTTTTCTTCAATCTGCAGAATCATCGAAGGCTGCTGTAGAGGCAATGGAAGGGGTGTTCTCTGCTCTAGCAATTTCAGATTCCAGTACTGAAGATCAAGACGAAGCTGGTAAGATAGTTGGTTCTCGATTTTGGCTTCTGTGTAATTAGTTCAATTTAGATTGGTACTTAGTTTGATAGTTTCAATCTCTAACTGTATTTTTTTATTCTTACAGTTCAGGGGGGACTTGTGATGAGGAAGCATCTAATATCCCTAGACGACTGATTTGTTCAAAGCAATGAAAGGTTCCAGGTATTGAGCCAGACTTGAGCCTTTTAACTTGTTCAATTTAAAAGTGACTTTCACTTATCTAACTGTGTTTGCTACTCTGTTTCTTGCAGTGATTGCTTTTCATTTTTCAAGGATGAATGCTGTTGTTGAGTTGGTTTCCAGCAACATAGTGTTGCTTGCTTTTTGGAAGAAAAGATCAAAGGAACTCGTGTGTGCTATTAGTATAGGTTTTAGTTCGATTTATGGATGATGTTATTGGGGTTGTCTGCCTTTGTTTTTTATCTCTTCCTTTTGAGTTTTGAACTTGAACACTAGTGTAGTGAAAAATATGTTATATGGGTTTTGGGTGGTGGGTTTTGGTTGCAGCAGCTTGTTTGGTTGCTGCAACCTATCACTTTTGTTTGATTGTTTCATTGTTTGAACAATGAAGATCTGGGTGTTGGGTGGTGGGAGGGTTACAGCCCCAGATCTTCTCTTTTGTGTTTTGAATTTATGTGCCTTGAACATCAAGGTACTTTGAAGTTTGAATTTCAGGGATTTTTTATTAGTTTTTTCCTTTTTTTTGTATTTTTCTCAGGATCCGTGGTGATCCGTGGTTTACCCGAATCCGTCTGGGGACGGTGACGGAAACCAAACGCGCCCCGACAAAGGGACGGGGACGGGGATGGGGAAATCCGTCGGCCTTGACGGATGGGTAACGGGAACTAGCTACCCGTCTCCGATCCGCCCCGTTGCCAACCCTACTTATTTTTCTACTACTCATCTCACATCTCTCACAAGTCACAACCGCTCA